GAGCGCATATTGCGGTCGCACGACACGGTGTTGCCGAACCCCGAGAAATTGAAGCCACCCCTGCTCCTGCCCGGGGGTGGTAGACCAGAGAGAGAGACAGGGAAGGGAAACGAAGAGAGAGGGAGAAACACAGGGGGGGGGTTTAAGAGTGGAATTATCACACCCGAAGGTGGAAAGGCAACCTGCTACGCATTTTATCCTGACCCCGAATGCTCTTATGCCCACGCTCTGCACGTATCCATAATAATGTACACAACAAGGGTGAAGTGTGAGGGTGATATGGACCAAGAGGGTGATATATAGGATGGTGGGGTGATATATAGGTGACGTTCGCTGTCCACTTGCTTGTTGCAGCCGGCTCCCCACATTCCTGCTGGCTTGTTGGGGAGAAGGGAGCATGTTTTCGCCGAGTGAGACCCGCCACACTCCCCACATACGTGGCGGAAGCTGCATCGTGGCCCGAAGCTGCAGACGCCGCTGGCATTAAACAAAGCGCACACATCTGGGGCCCAGGTGCGCCGCCGTTTTGGGCCTGACGAGCCCGATTGTGACGTCAGCTCCCTTTTCTTGGCCGGGCAGTTCGCTGCCAGGTGCTGTGTGCTATCGCACACGTGGCAACATGCCTCTGCCTTTGCCCGTCCGGTGAAAAACCTGGTGTGCAAGTCGACGTCCACCTTTGACCATTGTCTGTTACCAGTCGCTGCGGCGGCCACACGAAAGTGGGTATCGTAGGCTCCCCACTGCACCCCGTCGTACTGCTGAGCCGCCTTAATTATTGTAAGCTGGTAGCAGCAGCTCGCTCTCCTGCTTCGGGAATTTTCAGAGCAACGCAGCGACGTACACAATGTACGCCTTTGTCCACTCCATGATGGATTCTATCTGTTTCCGCTTCGGGCGGATCACCTCGAATAGGGCGAACCTCGCCTGGGTTTCGATCATCTGATCGTGGACAGACTGGGGCGGCACGAGCACCGCCAAATCGATGAATTCACACCGCTGTACCCTCTCTATAAGGGATTTTGGCACTATCGGCAGGCCATGGCCGATCGACACCAGGTCGCTCGTCAAAGTGTTTGCATGGCCGATGTTCCCCGACATAGCACTCAGAACCGCCATCCACGCTGTAGCCGTGTCGGGGATGCCTGCCGCTGACGCGACCGTTGGAGAGGGGTCGACCGACGAGCAAGCCGAGGCCCCGCTCGAGGCAGACGCCGCTGATGGGATTGATGCTCCCAACGTCGCTACTGGCATTGATGCAGGCATGCCGCCCAGGGTTGCCGCCGATGTTGCCGGGGCCAGCCCTGTGGGGAAAACGCTGCTCGCAACTGGCCAAACACCGCCGCCAACTGCTATACCAACTAGCCCCGGAAAGGCGGCATGCTTCCCGCCGCTGACTTTCATCGCAGCTACCTTACGGCGCCCCGTCATGCTCCTGCAGATGGTGCTGCCGCTCGACGACTGCCGCTGCTGCTGCTGTTGCTGCTGCCCCGCCGCTGCCAACCAAGCTGCTGCCGCTGCTAGCTGCCGCCCCATCTTTGCATATGCGAGCCATACTGCTGCTGATGCTGTCCCGCCACTGCTAACGCAGGCCACGCACATCGCGCGCTCAAAGCTGCTGCCGCCACCCGACACCTTCCTACATAAGACTGGTTGTGCATTACGCTGGTGTCCTTAGCTTGCTATTGTACGCCCCGCTGAGCCGAGGAACTCTAGGTTAGGCCACCACCGACCCGATACAGGAGTCGAGCACAAGAAATGCCTATCCGGAGTGGGCTGGGAGGACGCTGGGAAATGAAGATGACGTGGATACCACCAGGCCGCTGGATCCAGGAACGGAGCTCGACCCCCCAGAGGCAAGTCCCAGCGATGAGGCTGTGCGAAAGATAGATTGCAGCACCCGTGACGTGACTTGGTCAACCAATGCTGACGTAGCGACTGCCGGACTAACTGCCGGAGCTGAGACTGCAGAAGAGAGAGACGTAGTCGGTCACCGGGAACTCGCAACCGTTGTCGCCAGGGAACTAGAAGTCGGCGTGGAGCTGGTTGTCGTGGCCATGGTTAACACCTTTCATGAAGAAAATACGGAGCTGTTGCTGACAGGCCGTCGAGGACGGAACTGTGATCCCCAATTTCAATCTTCGTGCCTTTGCTATCGCGCGCCCAGCGCGCGGGCGCAATGCACTGCGCATGCGCCCTGGCCCTGAGCCCTACACCGCGCCCGCGCTTTAGCCGTGAGCAAGCGCCCGCCGCGTTAACTTTGTCTAGCTGGCTGCCGGCTACACGTCATCACGTGTTTTCAGGGATGATTGGCTTTCGGTTTTCATGAACTGTTCCACTTGCTCTGTTCCACGTATTTTAAGAGCATTTACACGTTCTTATTGGCTTTTGCACACATTTATAAACCATTCTACGTTTATCAAGCTCATATACACAGCTTCTACGTTCATATTCCAAATTCACACGTTCTTCTGCGTTTATTAGGTGGGCACCAATTGCAATTGTAATTTTGGGTGGGGGTTAATTAGAAATGTGGGTTGCTGAACTGGGTGCTGTCTCTAGAAGCCTGCGTTGCGTTCTTGTCTCAGGGTGTGCGAGAACACGCTCCTAGTCAGAACTGCGACGGGGGGCGCGGCTAGGCACGGCGACGGCAGTTTCGCGGATGCGTGTACTCGCGTAGAGCTCGGCCGCGCTAGACGCATATGCATTCACGCAACGTGCTAGACTGCGATAAGCGCATGAGCATCACGTCCACACGCAACCGCACGGAGTGCGCATGCGTCCCTCTATTCCGGTACGTGCTTGGAGGATAGTATTTTTGTGCCACGAAATACCTCTTCCGGCACTTGACCCTGAGCTCTTACACACCAGCCATGCTGGTGGAGAACCGATCATATCCCTACGAGCGAGAGGTGGGTGGGGCTTAGCTACCAGCGAGCAAACAGAGCAGCTGGCGACGTTGCTATGAGCCTTTCCTAAGTGGCGAATCAAACTGTGCGCCAATCTTCTCGCACGCACACAATGCACCGCGCCTGCGCACTCCCGGAATCTCACCAAACGCATGCGCGCCCATTGTGTTATTTAACCTTGTCTAACCCTTTAAACACAACTGGGCCGGCAGTAGCCTACCCTAGAACTCTGACGGGGAGCGCGGCAAGGCGCGGCGACAGTGGTTCCGCGCACTCGCGTAGTGCTCGGCCGTGCTATGCGCATGCGCATTCTCGTTACGGGCTCGGCTGGGATAAGCGCATGCGCATCACGTCCACACGCAACCTCACGCGCAGTGATCCAACTGCTCTACCGCCGGCCCGACAGGTGATGCGGCCTCGCACGACCTTGACAAGAACGCAACGCCCATAGACAGCGCCCAGAAGCGTTAAATGTGTGTTTACGCCAATTCATCTGCTCTGTCCAACTGGGGATTTTGCACACATATCTACGTTCTTATTGGGTTTTGCAAAAGGTTTTTTACACGTTCTACGTTTATGAATCTCACATACACAGCTTCTACGTTCATATTCGAAATTCACACGTTCTTCTGCGCTTTCACACGTTTAGTAGTTGGGCACCAATTTCAAAGGCTTTTGAACACATTTTTAAATCGTTCTAGTGCTTCTACATTGATGTTGACACATTGCCAATAAGCATGTACATTAGCGAAAAGGAGCATCAGGAACAGAGCGGATAAACGTAAAATACAGGCTCACGCCAACCATCAATTACAATTGGTACTCATCTACAATTCCAAATAAACGTGTGAAGACGCAGAAGAACGTGAGAATTTGGAATATGAACACAGAAGAAGTGTATATGATGAACTGGATAAACGTATATACCTTTTAAAAAGGAGAGGAACGTGTAAATAAGCTAGTTAAAATGTGTTCAAAAGACGTGCTTTATGCCCGAAATACGTGGAATAATTTCCAAATTGCGCCCACCTACATTTCCAATTAACGCAAAACCATTGGTGTATACCTACCATTCCAAATTACTGTGTGCAAAACTGTGAAAATGTGTGCTAAAACTAAGTGGAACAGAGCAGATAAACGCAAAGTAATGAAGTGTGAAAACGCAGAACGTGTGAATATGAAATGTGAACGTAGCAGTGTATATACATGAGTTGGATGAACGTACAACAGTTAGCAAAAGCCAATGTACATTAGTGAAAACATGCAAATCCGTGGAACAGAGTGGATAAACCCAAAAAATTGTGCCAATGCTTATACTATACCAATTGGCAACAACCAACATTTCCACCCACAATTCCAATTGGTACACACCTAATAAACGTGCGAAAATGTCTGTCAGTATGGAACAAGAACGTGGTGTGACGTGTATATACGTACAATGTGTGCAAAAACCAATAAGAACGTAGATATATGAAAGAACGTGCTAATGCTACGTGGAATTCAATTCCAATTGACGCCCTTCCACATTTAAAATTAACTGAGTGCCAACTGCTCTATCCAGAAACGTGGAAGCCGAGTAGACTAATGCTCTCTGAAACTATGTGGAACAGAGGCTATGAAAATTATAAAATGGGGAAGAACGGGCGAATGTGACAAATATGAACGTAAACGTAGAAGCGAAATAACAGTGTTGATATGTGCAAATGAACGCAAAATAACGGTGCCATAAGTCCAATTGGCAATAACCCACATTACCAATTAATGCTCACCCACAATTTGGTGTACACCTAATAAACGTGTGAAAAGAGCCTGTCATTATGCTCACACGCAATTTCAATTGGTGCCCACCTAATAAACGTGTGAAAACGTAGCATTCTGGATTAACAGAGCAGATAAAAAGAAACATTATTTGCTCTGTTCGTTTACAATTCAAACTGTCACCCAACTTCCAACGCGTGAATACGGAGATTTCGAATATGAACATGAAAGCAGTGCGTGTAAAGGTTAATGCAAACGTACATATATGACAATTGCTATTGGAAGCAAACAAAAATTTCCAATTAACACTCACCCACATTTCCAATTGGTACTCACCTAATAAACATGTGTAAACAGCTTTTGTCCTCCGCCCCACCATGCTCTGCTGCCGATCGACAACTGCCTCTGCTGTCGCTGCTGCAGCCGCTAAACAACTGCCGCTACATTACGGTGGCGTCCTCAGCTCGCTCCATACGCCACAGCAACGCCCAGATGGGCCGATTCCAGGTCTCCCAAGGGCCGATCACAAGAAATACATACCCGGTGGTGTATCTGGAGATAAGAACAGACCTCGAACCCCCAGACACAAGTCCCAGTGTCAAGGGAACTGGAAACCGCTGTCGCCAGGGAACTAGAAGTCGGCGTGGAGTTACAACTTTCCGCAAGACAACACGGCGCTGTTGACAGGCGGTAGAGGAGGTTGATCCCAATTTTAACCGTCGCGCATTCGCTATCGCACTGCGCATGCGCCTTGGTCCTAGGCCTTACCGCTCTCGGGCGTGATGCTTAGAGAGCGCCCGCCGGGTGTAGCCAGCTAAACGTTATTTGGCGGCCACAAAAATGTGCAATTAACGCCCACCCACAATCCCAATTGGTTCCAACCTACAATGTGTGAAAACGCAGAAGAACCTGTGTATGAGCATATATACAAGCTGTGAATATGAGCTGAAGCACGTACATAAGTGAAAACAATTGCTAAGAATGAAGCCAGAAGATTAACTATCAGAGGCAGCCACCCATATATAAACGCTTTAAGACATTTGAAATCGAATATGAACGAAAAAAACGGGAAGGAAAATGACATGTGTATCAGCGTAGAACGATAAAAAATGAGTGAAGCAACACCACACTTCCGACCTTGCACCATTATTTTGCGTTCGAATTGTTGGTGGGCGTTAATTGTAAATGAGGGTGGGCACCAATAGGAATTGTGGGTGGGCATTAATTGGAATTGTGGCTTGACAGCAACTGAAATTGTGGGTGGGGAAATGAGGCTGGGCATTAATCGGAAATGTGTCTTGGCACCAATTAAAATTGTGGGCGGGATTTAATTAAAAATGAGCGTGGGCCCCAATTGGAATTGTGGGTGAGTATTAATTGGAAATGCGTGAATACGCCAATTCCAATTATACAAGCACAAGGCATGTGAATCAGCGTAATATACGTATAACAGGTGAAGCTGCACCACACTTCCGACCTTTCACGTTTTGGCACCAATATTTTGCGTTCGAATTGTGGGTAGGCATTAATGGTAAATGAGGCTGAGCACAAATTTGAATTGTGGGTGGGCATTAATTGGAACCAATTGATTTGTGGGTGGGCTTTAATTGGAAATGAGGGTGGGAACCAAGTTGAACTGTGGGTCTTACTGTGACTTGGCACCAATGGAAATTGTGGATGGGCTTTCATTGGAAATGAGGGTGGGCAATAATTGGAACTGCGTTTAATGTCACGTTTTTTCTTAATAATTGTAATTGTTGCACGGTGTTTTATTTCGTTTTTCACTACACGTTTGTACGTTCATATGTGACCGTTCACGCGTAAACCGGCAAAAATATTTTTCTTGATTTCACCGGATTCCACGTTTCTAATCTCGTTCAAAACTTGGTGCGGATGACCCGTGCCATTAAGATCCGAGAAACAGCAATTCTTCCACCTTGTTTTTTTGGCGGCCGTAAATTTACGGTGGCGTGGAGTTCTATGTAGCCTACCTCTATGTCTTTAAAAAAGTCTGAATCGCGCTGTTTCGAATTTACTTCGCCGACGGTTACATATTTCATTTCTCCGCCATTTGCGTTCCTTTTGCACATATTCTTTCACTGTACGTTCATATGTCCAAATAAGCATTTTGTCCAGTTATTTTGCCTTTATTGTTTTTACATTGACACCAATATCACGTTTATTGCATGCGGTTTAGTTTTGCGGATAAACAGAGAATGGGTGAATGTTAAATATTAACGCAGAAAAACGGTTGAATATATATGGAGAACGAATTTTGATCGTTTCGAACAGCGGTTTAAAATGTGGGGAAAAGGTAGTTAATGTGATAACGCGCGCAAGATAGTACAGAATTGAAACGAAAAATAACTAATGGCACCAAACCATAATTCCAACTGCAAACAATTACACATTTTGCTGATTTTGGAGTGCAAAACGGGAAATACAAGGAATAATGACAATAAATATACTATTGCGGGCTGATGTCACAGCGTATGTGACAGCTCTCGCGTGTCTCTTTTCAGAAAAAGCCAGTGCGTTTAGGCGCTCTAAAAAAAGTCTGAATCGGTGTTTCGACAATGAGAACACAGAAAATGGCACGCGGCAAGCTGTAATTCCACGCAAGCGCATTAATGATGTTAATATCTCGTTCTTTTGCAGAGAGAATGCGCTTTTTTAAACGTTTTAGAAGCTGTTAAACGTCAATGGAATGGTGGAATAGAGGATATAACGGTCCGAATCGTTATTTGGAGAAGAGACGTTTCCACTAAAATTTGAAATAAAAACGTTAAATGAGACAAAACGGAGTGCAATGAGCACGGTGATTAATTTGGCGCAAAAATTCAAAATTGCGTAGTTCGAAAGCGCTAAGCGTTACTTCGAATGATTGGGCAATGCCGCCAACTAACTAGAATTCGGCTTATTTATTGGCTTTACCATTCGTCTTCGTTCACGTTCGTTCTTACGCAAATGAACCTTTATTTCGTGGTTATCGCGTATATTTTAATTGTTTGAAGTTGTTTTTTTGTTCCACATATTATATCACGTTCTCACTGGTGTATGGGCTTATTTATTACCCCTCGAGGTGCAAAGAGTGTTATCACATTCCATTCGGCTTTTGTAGTCCGGGAGAAATGGAGAACTCAGAGAGTAGTGAGAGTGATATGGACTGGACGAACGAGGAGGATGGCATTGCAGCTCAATCAGAGACAAGCATGACAGAGGAAGGAGGGAGACCTAGAGGAAGAGGAAAAGGGAGGGGGAGAGGGAGGGGAAGAGAAACTGAGAGAGAATCAGGCAGGGCGGCAATTTTGCTGCGCAACACGTTCATTGCGTCGAAGACACGCGACCACTTCTGCACTTCGTCGACAACACACGCTTACCATCACAGAATGAGCCTGGGTACCATTGTCTGCAGAAGGTTCTCCCCATCATCACACACATGAAGTGGAAGTACAAGGAGAATTACAGCCCTCACCCCCAGAACAGTGTTGACGAGGCGATGATCGGCTACAAGGGTAAAAAACACAATCTGTTCACAAATACACCTATGCATGCACAGAGGTCTGTCCTCCATGATTCAGTAGATGCCCATGAAGCCTGGCTAGCTGACAGATCGTGACACCACATACAACGCGAAAGACGTGTATATACCTCTGAAGACAAAGCGGCACTACCCACCCTGAACACAAAATGGGGCTCACACAAAACAGAAAACAATGTCAGACACCCTTCAAAACAACGGCACCTACAAATTCAGACACTAGTTCGAAATTCAGTCAGTGTGTTAGAAAGTCATATGCTACCTGCGTATTACAATGACATACCTTGACCACTGGTTTTCCTGAACTCCAAGAAGAGTCAAAAGCTTCAGATGAACTCTCCGTTGCAGCGAAAAACACACACACGAGCGTCTTCTCAATTCCTAGCCCTTGCGTATAGCGCGAATTGCACGCGGAGGGTGTGGCAACGCGCTGTTGCGCATTGCGCGCAATACGCATGCGCGTAAAGACGTTACGTAAAAATTATATTCGACCCCAAAGAGTTAAGGATCATTTGCCGTTACCGCAATGAGTTAACTCTCAACGCGAAAGGCTAGGTAACGCTAATTATAGCGCACTTCCCATTCTGGGACTCACACAAAACAAAAACAGAACTACAATGAGCGGCGAAAAAACACTCGTGGAGGTGTGTTACGCATTGCGCGCAATACGTATGCGCGTGAATATGCAATATTCAGCATTGTTGAGTTTCAAAACCGGTCTCATTTCTAAGCGAAAAGACACATTCATTCATCCTCCAGTATTGGGAGCGTTATTTTTCGTTTATATCATATTTCTTTGATAAAATCTGAATCGCGCGCGGTCACATATTTTTATTTTCGTTTTAAGTTTCATACTGCCGTTACCGCAATGAGTTATTTATTTTGCGTTTTGCCGTATACTTATTGGCTTTCCTCTGACGCAAAGAAAGTCAAAGCGAAAAATCCCGTAACGTGACGTCGACAAGAAAACGGAAAAATTTCATTCCACTATTTCACGTTTTGCCCGCGTTTGAAAAATCGTAACTTCCCCAAAAATATACGGTGTATCAAGCTTTAGAACTATACAAAAAACGCTACTTCACAAAAATGCGGCGTAAGGTTGGTTTTTGCGTACACGGTAGCTCAAATATGGAATGGTAATGCAAGAACGTGATATTATTCTTAAATTATATGTAATAAAAAGAAAAATCATTTGAATATTAAATAGAAACGCACCAACGCAACAAAAACATGTGAAATTTTATGTCAAAACGTAAAAAAGACGTGGAATAAAAAGCGTGTATAACTCATTGCGGAACGGAAGGATGTCACATCATATTTGTCCGTCAGACTTAATATCGTGTTTGTAACTTTGAATAAACAAGTATAAATTAGTTAACCAACTCGGATTGCGAATGTACAAAATCAAAGGTGGGGCAGTCAAAAGTGTAACACGTTGATGGAAAGATGACACTAAGCTTTCTTGAAAAGAAAGTTGGAATTTGTAAAATACGAACGATACTGAATAGTAAAAAAATGGTATGAACGCAAAAGTCGTGAGAACATGTGAGTGTGAAACGGTTTAAAGCTATATAAATTAATAATCGAGAAAAAACATGATAACCGAGAAATAAAGGTTCATATGCGTATGAACGAACGTAAACGAAGACGAACGTGTAAATGTGCAGCCCAAACATTGTGGCCGTTATCAAAGTAGTACATATACGAATCGGAAAGTCCAAAAATTAGCCCCATATCGATTCAGTTCTTTTCGAATATTTTTTTACACAATCTCCGTTGTTTTTAGACTTACACCTCATTTTTCCGCGATTAAAATTGTTTTACAAAAATAAACCAAATGTCAATATGGAATTTATTGTTTTGGGCTATTCTTGCGTGCAAAAAAACATACCATCATGCATCTGCTCAGAGTCCCACTCCATCCCCAGGTTATCATCACTACGGACTCGGGGTCCTCTCCGGCGAAGAACTGGATCACTGAGATGCGCTGTGCCACCTCGTGGGTGTAGCTAGCAGAAACTAGGAGGAGCTGAAACGAGCAAACAGGCGTGGGTGTAGCTAGCGTTGCAGCGGCGGTACTGCGCAAGCCCGCGCGTTTGGTCATGATGACGTATCTAGTCTATTTGTGGGCAAAGTAATATCCAAAAAGCCTCTAAGCGTTTCCACGGAGTACCTACTCCGCGCGGAACGATTCCATTCCGCGTTATCACGCATTGACGCATATTTGCGTCCTTGGCCCCAAAGAGTTAAAAAGAAAATTACAAATATGTGACCGTGCACGCGAAAACCAGCGAAATTTATTTTTAGTAAACAGCTTTGCAAGTCGAAAGAGTGGTACCGCGCGATTCAGATTTTTTCAAAGAAATATGATATAAACGAAAAATAACGCTCCCAATAGTGGAGGATGAATGAATGTGTGTTTTCGCTTAGAAATGAGACCGGTTTTGAAACTCAACAAGAAACATGAAAAAACGTGAAAAAGTAATGGTATTCTTTCCATTGTGCTGAATATTGCATATTCACGCGCATACGTATTGCGCGCAATGCGTAACACACCTCCACGAGTGTTTTTTCGCCGCTCATTGTAGTTCTGTTTTTGTTTTGTGTGAGTCCCTAATGGGAGCTAGCCTTTCGCGTTGAGAGTTAACTCATGACGGTAATGGCAGTATGAAACTTAAAGACTGTGGTATATGAAAAAACGTGTCGAAATGGTCCTTTAAAACCAGCAAAATTTATTTTTAGTAAACAGAGGGTACCGCGCGATTCAGATTTTTTCAAAGGAGAAGGACCCAAAGACAGCTACATACTTTATAGGCCCGTGGCGTCGCCTCGAAGTAGGCTACGTCGAACTCCACGCGCCCGTAAACGGGGGATTACGCGGAGAAATTTGCGGGCCGTCAAAAAGGGTTACGAAAGCCTGCCTTCTTCGTTTCCACGAGAGATAGCCTCGTTCGCGTGAAAACGCAATATGAAATGTTAACGTAGATGAACGTAGATGAACGTACTACCGTTTAAAAACGTGAGTTTACCCTCGTCAGTTGGAACATGAAACCGCTCAGCACGGACGGATGTCACAGGCAAACGTTAGATATTATTTCTCCACGTTTTCTCGGATATCGAAGGTCTGACTCCCGGGTACAAAAGCAGCTATATCTCCAGAATGGAATGGGTCATCCGCACCAAATTTTGAACAAGCACGGCAAAAGGGTAGAAAACGCGGAATCCGGTGAAATCTCGAAAAAATTTTTTTCCGACTTATGCCTGTTTTTCGCGTGGAAAAGCCATAAAGTTTTTGGAATAAAATGGTGCAACGTAAGATGAAGAAAGGCAGTTCTATATGACAAACGTTTATAAACGTGCTTTATGCTCTAAATACGAGGGAAAATTCCAATTTGTGCCCACCCACTTTTCAAATTAACTTAAAACCACAATTCCAATTGTTGCCCACCTAATTACTGTGTCCAAAAGAGAATAAACACAAAACGGAGAAGAATGTGTAAATAAGAAAAATGAAGATAGAACGTTCAAAAAATGAAACACCTCTAAATACGTGGAATTGTTCGAAATTTGCGCACACCGACATTTCCAGTTGATGAACGTAAAAAGGTGAGTTTACCGTCGTCAGTTGGAACATGAAACCGCTCAGCACGAACGGATGTCACAGGCAATAACAAGAAGAACAAACAACACTAGTGACAAGCACGATATTATAGAAAAGGCTACACACGAGTATTAGACTTCAGCACACTACAGATCACACTACTTTGGGGTGGGTTTGCTTGTCTCATAGCACAGCTTTACACACTGTAATAATTCAAAATTAGCGTTTATCCGCTAAGAAAAAAAGGGTAAATACATGCGTCCGCGATTTTTCACAAATGTTCACGGCTTTTTTAGCTTTAGCGGACATGCCCAAAATATATGGTTTGGTCTCTGCGTGTAGTGGCTTCGTGAAGTATGAAGAAAAATTAATTAAAGAGTGGAAAATTAAGTGACAATGGAAAAGAACTGAGGCTGGGGTGAATAACAATTTTCATCGCAGAAAAAAAACGTGCATTTGAGTTAAAGTGACTGAAAAAACAGCGAAATAACGGTTCATAAAAGTAAATCTGAAAAACAACTGTCAACGCGAAAAAGAAGAAAGACGGTGGGATTCGAACTAGGGACCTCCCGTGTTGATCGCCAGTCCACTCTCCTATATTCCGGTTTACGTATGAAATTGCGCCCTTAATTTGGACGAAGTATCGTCATTGATGTTGTATTCGGTGATACCCTTATTTTGCGCTGCCTTTTCCTTATGTTCAGGTTGTTTCACATTTGCAGGTTTTTTTACATTAAACACAAGATAACGTTTCAATGCTTGTATAATTCTAATTGACGTCTTGGCACATATCCAATTAATGCCTACCCACAATTCCAATTGGTGCCCACCTAATTTCCAATTAAAGCCCACCCATAATTTCAATTGGTGCCATGCCTCATATCGGATTAATGCCCACCCACTTTTCCATTTAGTGCCCACCCTCATTTCCAATTAAAGCACACCCTCAAATCAATGTCCAATTCCTATTAACGCCCACCACAATTCCTATTGGTGCCTAACCACAGTTCCAAATAATATTAACCCACAATTCAAATTGGTGCTACCCACAATTCTAACGAATGCCAAAAAGTGGAAGGTCGGAAGTGTAACTCATTTTAACACGTTATACGCTGATACACATGTTATTTTGTGTGTTCACACCTTGCCAGTGCTTGTATAATTGGAATTGGCTTCTTCGCAAATTTCCAATTAATGCCGACCCACAATTCCAATTGGTGCCCACCCTCATTTCCTATTAAAGCCCGCCCACTGGTGCCCACCCTCATTTCCACACCAACAATTTCAGTTGGTGTCAAGCCTCAATGCCCACCCACAATTACAAACCTCATTTCCACAATTCCAATTGG